GAAGAGAGGGGGAGGGGGAGGAGGGGGGGCGTGGTTGTGAACTCTTTCGGATCTATCCACTGACATTTCTAGTACCAATTGAACGACTTCAGAGGGAACCAGACTTCTGCAGGTCTTGCTAAAGCTTTCGAGATTCGTCTGTCAAGGTATGTGTTTATTTTCTCGGTTCCTGAATATCCCACTTAGGCACAACCAAATTCTCTTTGTCCGTCTACAGTTCTATTCCTGTTTTTATTTCATATAAGGAGATAGAAAACAGTGATGGAAAATCTACCATGAGTATATGACATGCCTGCTTGCAGTTTGATTGAATTTTTTTTTTTTTTTATCTGGGAGTTGCTCTTTGTCGGTAAATTCTGTACGAAATGCTAGCTTTAAACCTCTGGTCATCAAAAGATGGACTCTTCTCAATTGGATTTCGATCTGGGTGACCAGACCCAGAAGGAAAAGGAATGCGATTTCCTTGGTCCTGTTTGTAAGGTTAGAAGTTGTGGTTTCTTATTAGGTTCAAGCTATTCCAGGTGTAGATTCGGTGGGCTTTATTGTAGCATCCCAAGCTATTTCTGTTAGTTTTGGAAAACACATGCTGCGAGTTTTCTGGCAAAAGAGAAGAATCTGACAATTGCCATTGAATTAGTTGCGAATTGTACCCAGTGACTCCAAACAAGAACCTCATAGCTTCCGTCATTTTGAGGTGAGATTTAGGCCTAGGATTTGAAATAATAGAGATTTAGCGGAGGCTATTTTGGGTTGAGTGTGGGTATTTTTGTACCGGGTTTGTACTGGGTTGTGTGTGAATCTCTTTCAGGAATCCTTTCTCCTTCAATTTGCCTTCATCTTCTTTGTCAAGGGTTCAAGCTGCAGCTGCAGCATTATTGTAACCATCCTCTTATCCCTCCATTCTCCTCCGTTCAGTGTGACAACTGGGTTTCCACAAAGAAGATGATGAGACAGCTTTTCAAGAACGCAACAGTACAATCTGCCACATTCAGGTTTCTTCAATTGAACTCTCAAGTATGTAATGATTTTCTTTTCTTTTCAGTTCAGCCATCTGCCTCCATTTGAATTCTGAATCTGGGTTTGTGGCTTTCATTGCAGAGACAGATGCATAGCAGAAACAAGAAAGCAATGGAGTTCATAGCCAAAGGATGGAGTAATTTAAAGGAAGTTGACAGAGTCATTGATTATTGTGAACTAAACGATAAACGTCTCATTCCTCGTCTTAGAGTATGTTAGCTACACAAATTTGATTAACATTCAAGCATATGCATCAAGTGCATTTAAGTATTTAATCACTGCCCCGTTTGAGGTTTTTGTATATTATTTTGCTTGCCTGCAGAGAAAGTGTGAGAGCTGAATTTTTATTAATGTTTAATTTTTTAGGGAATTTTGTTTTGTGCAGAGGGGATTTCTTTCTATTGTGGTGGCATGAGATTTAAAAAAGTAAGGACAAAAAGGAAAACTAAACAACTTTGAATGACAATCCTTGTAATTTGGTATAGAAAGAGGAAGACAAGAGGAGGGGCTCCTTATCAGAGCAATTTTTGAGTCAGAAGTTGAGGAGAAATTTAAATTATGATATGTTTCTGCATATTAGTTTTGTATGTTGTCTATTACGACAGAACAATTTCTCCTGTTCAAAAATGGTAGAAGTTTGGATGTTTTTGAATGTTATTGTTCCTTTCTCACTGCACCACTGTTGAAATGATAGTTGAGGGGCCTACATCAGCATGACCAATACTTTGATAATGTTTTAGCTTGTAGCTTGTTTGACATATTCAGTTTTATTTGTTCTTAGATCTTGTATCCTTGATGGCATGGCTGTCTATTAGGAGAGAAGAATTTTACATGTTTAAAAAGGGTAGAAGTGGGGGCATGAATAGTATGGTTCATTACTAGTAGCCAACACTGTTAAAATGCTAGTTAGTTGGAGTTCATTCACCTATGGAGCTGGTTCTTGAAATATATTAGTCCATTAAAAATAAGTATGAGTTGATAATGGCAGATTGCTTGCAAACCTTTGTGATGCAATATCTTTGTATTTTTGCTGTGAACTTGCAGGTAGAAATGAAATACTTTTACCTAAGAAAAGTCAATTTGTTTCTCTTCTAATTTGAGTTTTCATATCAGGCAGCAAAGGAGAATTTTGAGTTAGCTTTGGAAGCTGATAATTCTAATACCCATGCCAGGTATTGGTTGTCCCAGTTACATCTGAAGTACCATGTTCCTGGGGCTAGTAAAGCTATGTAAGTGAAGGGTTTGGCTCAATGGCCCTTTTCTCCTTTCTTATTGTTATATCATCAAAATGTTCTCCAATCTCTGTAATATCATTGGCCTAATGTATCAAATGCAAATATATATATATATATATATTGTCACAAGGCAATTTTTTTAAAAAAATATATTTAGATTTCCCTTATAAAATAGGGGAGTTTGGATTAGCTTGCTAATGCTATGACTGTAGAGTGTTGCTACCTGTTAGCTATTTCAATAGACATTATTAGGCTTGATGAAGTAAACGACAATAGGAATTTGGAAATAGCTATTTTGAAAGAAGGATTTTCCAGGTCCTTGGAGGCCCAACTTGAATGGACAGGATTTCTGGGGGCTTAACAAAAACATACAAAAAGATTGTAACATTTCTTAGTTTACAATTTGTTGTTTCTTTTGTCTGATTAAGGGATATCAAACAAAAATAAGTCATGATTTCAGTGATAGTTTATCTTTATTATCTACTTTTATATTCAATAATGATTTTGATGTGATAACCTAATCTTTTTTATTCATCTTCCTTAAGTTCATATATATTTTGTTGTTGTTCTCTTATATTTTGATTCCAATGAATCATGCTTATATGACATTTTAGATAACATGGTTGCTGAAATTGGATATCTTATAATAACAGAGGAGCTGCTTTATTAGTAGAAGCTGCAGACATGGGTGATCCTGATGCACAGTATGAATTGGGTTGTCAACTAAGAGTTGAGGTTAGGCTTCAAATTCATAATGCTGAAAGTAAAACTTACTCAGCAGCTGTATATATAGAGCCATGAACATTGGTCTTATTATATTCTCCTTGAGGCACTAGTTTCTTTAAGAGGTCAATTCGTAGTTGTTTCCTTCTTTTGCCTTCTATATATCATTGATTTATGATTTTTGTATAGAATGACTATGTCCAATCAGATCAACAAGCTTTCTACTATTTGGAGAAGGCTGTTGACCAGGTATCTTTTGAAAAACTGAAATGTCTGATCTCATGATCCTTTAACAATGTCAGAAAACCTTATGTGAACTTCTTTTGTTATAGTTGCATCCAGGTGGTCTCTACCTTCTTGGTGCTGTATATTTGACAGGGGACTGTGTGAAGAAAGATATGGCTTCAGCATTGTGGTGTTTCCACAGGGCATCTGAGAGGGTAAAGTGTTGATGCGTAATTAACCACAATTATTGACTTAGTTATCCCAGAGGGATTGTACATATCTGCAAGTTTGTTCATAATTACGAAACTATGTATGGAAACTTTCTATAAAAGACGGTCACAGAGTGTAGGCGGACTTAATAAATATCATGACCCTGGGAATGTCAGCTTGCTTTTTTAGCTGCTAGGAAGGCCCAGTTGCTTGGAAGTTGGAATGAAGGGTAGCTTGTGTTCAGTTCTTTCAGTGAGATCTGTCAAATAATTCATTATGGTGTGATGGCCATATCCCAGCATAATGCAAAATGTGTTTTCTATGCTCATCTTCAATCAGCCCTCCCTTCTAGTTTCCTTTAGCAGTCTGTTGCAAGTTTCTAAATTTCCTTTTGACTAGATTAAGTCTTCAATGGTCATATGTATCTATAGAATTTTAGATTAACAACATGCCTTAGAAAAATTTAAAGATTTTCCATAACCTTGTGCCTGAATAACTAGTCTACAGTGGCAAAATAATAATAATATATATATGTGGTATGCCTGTTCTTGTTTTGTCTACCTGCAAGAAATGAGAAATTACAGTTAATTATATACATTTTCTTCGTTTCATATGATATATCTACCTTCATAAATTCAATATTTCAATTGGCCTATGTATGTCGTGTAAAGATCTCACCTACTAGCTTTGCATGTATGCAGGGACATGCAGGCGCAGCAATCGCTTATGGATCTCTCTTACTAAGAGGTCAGAATCCCATGCCGTCTTATGATTCCCGGAGAAACAATGTAGGGAACTTAGAAGATTCCAGGTCAATATAATCCTATAGTAATTAGTCAACAAGTTAAACCTTGCCACTTCTGGTTCAATTAGAAATGAAAAAGAGAAAATGACTGCAGAAACTAATAGTTGAGGCAAATAATCACCATATAACAGGAATCACGGTAATAGTAAAATTAAATGTTGTTTGATTAATCAGCCCCCTAGATTATTAAAGAAGCTGCAAGTATAGAAAGTTGCCTCTTTAAGTTATTTCTGTTCCTGCAATCCCTACTGAATTCTTAAAAGGTTCCAAAATGTTTACTGGCATGTTTCTCAGGTGCACAAGTCCCAGAATCTCTAATGAAACTCAATCCAAAGAAGGGCTCATCTACTAGAAGGGTAAAGAAGGATGCAGAAAGTCCCGTGATGGATCAAGTAGAGATGGCCAAAGAACAGTTCCAGATTGCAGCAAGAGCTGGGTGTGACCTTGGATTAAAATGGCTAAAAAGAGTAGAGGAGGAAGAGGAACGTCTGCTTACCGAAAATAGCTCCAGCCATACAGTCTCAGAGGGATAATTCAGGTTCTTTATCATATAGGATTAGCTTGAAATGAAGAGGATGACAATTTCTACTGTAATTTTTTTGTACGCACTTCTGTACAAATATGCACAGATTTCTACTGTAATTTTCTTCATTTACCTATTAACTTTGTTGGTTGTTCAGTTGATTCATTGACTGATTGTTTCAAGGAACAATAATGAAGTTGGAAAAAAAAAAAAAAAACGAAAAAAAAGGGAAGTAACAACCGTGAAATAGTCTTATCCTAATACCAAAAGGCAATTTATTTTGCCTCCTGCATTCCATTCATGTTGCGCAATGCCTTGATTTAATTGTACGAAAAAATTTTATTGGACTACTCTTTTATTTCCTTCAAATCAATTGGACTCTTAAGGAAAAAACCAAAGAGTTGGAATTTAAAATTTTAGAAAACAAAATAGAGATTTATTTAGTTTAGGAATTAAACTAGGGTCCATACCAAAATTGAGATTTAACTTAAACCATAAGCCAAGAAAAACTATGGTAATATAATCATCTTCAATGCACCATGAAGCCATGGTCCGTCCTGAGAGGTCCACAACTACCTCATTTGTTTAATGTGCGGAATGTTCCCCTAACTTTCGGATTTGAGAGGTAGCTATCCCGAATTCTTGAGAATATTGGGCTCCCGTCATGAACACGGAAACTAGTATCTTTTATAACTTCAACTTTCAACATCTCATTGGTAGCCACCTAAGTTTGCGAATATCCCCCTTCACTCTATTCACAAATTCAGAAGGATTATCATATAATCATATATACATATATAAAGATACTTCTAATTTGTTTAATTAAAAAGAGAGAGAGAGATACATCTAAATCCACCACCCACTTCAAATTGTTTCTCTCAATAGATGGCCTGCAAATTGAATTCTAGTCCAGACATTCAAAAATTGTGCTAAAAAGTTAAAATAAGGTAAGTGCTTGTCAAATTAGTGCCCTAAACTACTCTATTTTTAGGGAGAATGTTAAATAATTTTCAGTGAATGTTAAAAAAGCTTCGTCTAGAATGAATAAAACTTTCTTATTTCTTTTCTTTGTTTTTTCTTTATTCTTTCCTATTCCTCACATTTCCCTTCGTTAGAAAACTTTGATGGAACTCCATCTACTTAAATCGATTATGTAAATATTTAGAAGCAAACAAACTCTCATATTTCTCCTCCAATATCTCTAAAGTTTCTCCTACATATATATCTAGTGCATCTATGCAAGAGGAAACCAAATCAACTTATTGAATATTTTGTATAAATAAGGATATAATTTTTAAAAGTTATTCAGTTAAGGATGTAACATTGTTTTTTTTTTATTAAGACTATCATTTAAAAAATAATAATAATAAAACAATGACCTTTGTAATTTTATTACTTATGATACTCTAGTGTTTTATAATATTTTGGCTGTTCTTAATCTCAGCATGTTTGCTTATCTCTGCAACTTTATTGAGTCCTGTTCATCTTCATT